ACCAAAATAAAAATTTAAAATCCCTTTTCTTTTTAAGTGCTCAACGTAGGAAAAATGATGGGCAAAATGGCTTCTTCCTTCCTTCCTTCCTTCCTTCCTTCCTTCCTTCCTTCCTTCCTTCCTTCCTTCCTTCCTTTTTCTTTATATTTTTAAAAAGATTTTATTTATGTATCCATGAAAGACACAGGGAGAGAAGCAGAGATATAGGCAGAGGGAGAAGCAGGCTCCCCAGAAGGAGCCTGATGCGAAACTCAATTCCAGGACCCCAGGATTACCACCTGAGCTGAAGGCAGATGCTCAACCATTGAGCCACCCAGGTGCCCCTGTATTTATTTTTAATAAATGTAAATATAATGTACAGCCATGTTTATCTGCTTCTAAACTTCTGTGGGTCTTACACAGTTTATTAGTATTAAGTCTCTGTAATTCAAGTTACCTAGCAAGTTCAATTTCATGTGTTATTATCATTGCTTGTTAAAAGTGCATAAATTTGTTAGAACAGGAATCCTGTAGAGGACATAATTATGTCTTGTCAGTGGTGAATAAATGTCAGCCTTAAAAATGAAGTATTATTTTTGGGGTAACATGATTAAATCAAACTAGTATGTACTCAGGGATTGGAGTGGGGAGTAGACATTCTGAAAAATAAAATAGCCAAGGGTAAAACACCTGGTTTTATGAAAATGATTTTTTAGAAGCATTGTCTTGTATACTATGGGGGAAAAAAGCCCTGAAAGATAAAAAAGACTTTGATACTTGTTACAGATGAGAAACTCAATTAAAAATAAAATTTAATTTAATATTTTCTTTAAATACTATTGCCCAAATAAGGAAAATCCATAATTGAAAACTGAGTTTATGTACTATATACTTAGACCTGTTCTCCCTACCAGAGTCATGGCCATCATATTAAATTTGGAGTTGTGAGACTTACGAAGCTTTATTTGGATGCCAAGTAACTTTTTTTCCCCCTCAAGAATTGACATATGGACATGGACTAACTTACCCAAGATCACAAAATTAGCCCTGAGAGTCTGGTACCAGTGCTCAGGATACTGAGCACTGCTCAGGATAATCACCACTACTAATACAGACAGGGATACAGATATAAACATAGACGCAGGTATTATCTATTGTTGGTTTAAGTGTATGTTTTCTTTACCTTAAGCCCCTTAAGGTCAAGAACACTACATAGCATATTGCAGCTTATCCATATATATTTCATGATCAAATGAATGAACGAGCTTCTCACTTAGCAAGATAATTTTGCCATTCCCTGAAATTTTCCTATTATTTTAATATTACTTTACAGTGGACACTGTTGGCTTCTTTCAAACCTATTCCAGTTATTATTTGGGTGGTTTGTTATGAGACATGTTATGACATTTTAGACCTTTACATTTAAAACTTCATTCTTTTGCTAAGACAGAAATGATCTCTTCCTCTCTTCCTGCCAAATATAATAGCAGAATGAGTGTTTACATGAGAGGAGTTTGTAATCCAGGATTTCTACAGCAGCGGGCTTCAAGTTCTAGTCAAATCCTGCCTTTTGTCCAACTCTTCCTGATGAGTGTTACCATCAAAGCTCCATTCTGGCATTCATTAGTCACCAAATGCTTATTTTGAGAATGGTTGCTATCATCACTTACTCCCTACACAGGTACCACCTAGTTACTTTTGTTTTGGCAATTATGGGTTAAATACATTCCTGAGTTTAGTCCTGCTTAAGCTTGCTAGCCCTCTACTTTAAATTAATGCATGGTTAATAGAAGAGTAAAGCTTTCATTGAAGGAATCTTTCAAAGCATTCATTTTTATTCTTCTTTTCCATAGATGAATCTTCTTTTACTGCTTAGCTATGCTTTTCTACCCCTGCCCTACAACACTGTGCTATATTGTAGTTAATGATTAGTAATTAACTTATATTTTATTCTTAAAATATTGTTCTCTTTAGAGATACCCATTTCACTGTCATTCCTCACTGCCTTGCTATCAATTTATTTTTTTAAGTATTTACTTCCAACTTATGGAATTAATGTCAATCTAAAAGTCATTTCTCTAAAGAGTGTTTTCATTATAAATATCTCATATAAGGATCCTGTTTTTGTTTGTTTGTTTTTTTTTTTGCTAAAGCTTTTTGAGTCCAGTAATTCCCTAACAGAGAACTCTATAAAGGATTAGTAAGTTTGTTAGCAATTGTTTGATGGGAGAAAGCATGTTGAACTATTTTTTAAAGTTTCTTATTTTATATGTAATTACCCTGTGTGTCTCTCTCCTGGCACTTTTCCTCCTTGTTTTATGTCTAGAATTTATCAACTTAGAAATAGGCCATAAGGTATTTAAAATGCCTTTCCCAATTTAAAAAGAATGGAAGGTGGAATTTTGGGTTCATTAAAAGAAACAATACCTATTGCAATGACTATATGTTAGGGACTGGCCATAGTTAGAATCCTGTATTACCCATATTTGTATCACCAATATCTATTACAATTATAGAAAATTATTTTTCTTTCCCATTGTTTTCCTTCTTCATTCCCTTTCTCCACTTGAGACACAGGATTTTGGACACTAGAGAGGTGAAAATAGAAATGTGAAATTTGAAAGCAATCTGAATCTTAGTGTTAAGACTATGGACAGAAGGGAGTTACCTAAATAAGTGTTTAGAGAAGAAGACTATTTCTGCTTTGAAGAAATAGCTGATAAAATAGTAAACAAAGCAGAATGTATTTTCAAAGAAGTGACTCAAAAAGAGGGGAGGTGGTCAGCTCTGACATATGCTTATAGGAGAGAGCATAAAATAAAGAATTAGAATTGGTCACTAAGTTTGATGCAACTATAATTAGAGTGCTTGAGATAAAAAACCTGAGTGAAGTCAGCTGGAAAAAAAAATGGAAGTGAAGAATAAAGACTGTGACTTTAGATAGTTCTTTGGAGAGACATGTTTATATAGGAAAGTAGAGATTGAGGGATAGCTGGAAATTTTAAATTATAGTTAGGCATATTTTATTTTATTTTATTTTTTAAAAATTCTTTTGGGAGGTTTTTTTCCAAAGATTTTATAGATTTACTTGAGAGAGAGAGAGAGTGAGTGAGAGAGAATAGGAGGAGGAGCAGAAGGAGAGGGAGAAGCAGACTCCTTGCTGATCAAGGAGCCCAATGCTGCAGTGTGGCACTCGATCCCAGGACTCCAAGATCATGACCAAAGGCAGACACTTGACTAAGACACTTAGGTGCCTTACTTGGGCATATTTTAAAAGTGGGCAATTTTAAAAGTCATTTAACAAGCCAAAATGAATAGTATGACATAGAGGAAGGGAGAAACATGATGCAGCAAGAGGGAAAATAATTGCAGTAGAAAAAGGACTGTGGGTGAGAGGATTGGCTTTACCACACAGCTTGGTCATGGGTCTTAGTTGCATGGATGCTTCTTTCATCTTAATATCAATGGAAACAGTGTTTAGGTGCAGGTGCACATTTTAGATTGGAAACGGAAAAGTGAAGTGGGGCCCATCTGATAACTTCTATTTGCTCAATGAAATATGATGAAGGTGAAGTGCTTGCACTGGGGGAAAAGAGTATGACAGATTTAAGGAAAGAGAAAATACAAAATCTTCAATTAAGATAGTGGAGACTAGAATTTGTGACAACTGTCTGATTTGAACATTGGTCCACAAAGGAAAAATAATCATAGCTGTTTTAAACACACTTCCCACTGGGAACCAATTTTGGATGATTTATCAAGCACTGTGTCTTCAAATATGAGATATAGTGCTTCAGCTCTCATGCACCATTAATTCCTTCTCTGATTCAGACTCCTAGAAGTTTTTTACCTAGCTCTTCAGCTCACTCATGGCACATTTTTCAAATTATATTTTATTTTGTATTTCTATTTGTTTGTGTAGGAGGAAAGTTTCCAAGTGTTTCAAGGGAAAAAGTAGAACTTCTCTAAATTTCATTTTCATCATTTTAAAGTGCAATAATGCTATCTATTTGCAGAATTGTGGTTAAAAATTAGACATTATATGTATAAAATGCTGGCCCATAATAGGCAATTAAAAATGATAGTTGTAATATCACTACTAAATATTCTTTTGTCCATAGAATAAAGAGACCTTTCTTCTACTCTGCCTTTTTCTAAATAAGTTTAGCTTCTGACATGTATTTTAAAAAAATACTACTTTATTTAGAACTTCAATGTGGTGCAATGTTTCTAAGTTTCTTATAAGAATATAATATATAGGGACCCCTGGGTGGCTCAGCAGTTTAGCGCCTGCCTTCGGCCCAAGGCATGATCCTAGAGTCCCCAGATCGAGTCCCACATCATGCTCCCTGCATGAAGCCTGCTTCTCCCTCTGCCTGTGTCTCTACCTCTCTCTCTCTGTGTCTCTCATAAATAAATAAATAAAATCTTTTTAAAAAAAGAATATAATATATATTATAATAATAATTATATATATTATATATAATATATATACATATAATGTAAGATAGCTTACTGAATGATTTTTTTTGTATTTTGGGTTATGTAATGTTTTTAGGGCCTTGATAATGTAGTACTTGAAAAAAAATAGACTTCAAACAGAAAATTTATATCCTCTTAAGACTTTATTTTTATCATACAAGCAAAATTATGATTGATAATGTAATTTGGAAAGCCCAAATAACACCATTGAGGGGGGAAAAAAAAACAAAAAACCAAAACAAGGAGTAAAAAAGTCAACACATAACTTGAAAGGAATTTTTGAAAACTGCCACAATATTATTTATATCCTCTTTGCCTACTAACATGTTGCTAAAGACTACAATATTTTGTAGTAAAGCCTCTATGCACTTAAGTAACTAAAAAATGCTGAATCAAATGATTTTAGTATCAACCTTTTTATTCCCCGCAAATTAAAATAGCCATGGCCATACTTGGTGTTCTCTAAAGGAATATGGATACTACCAAAATCAATGTACAATTTGTAAAGGAGAAATAACAAGATTTGACATAGTGACTCTTTATTCAGTATCTTCTTCCATGTTGGTCTGATCTAGGGCATGTATCTCCCTTTCAGGTAGTAACCCATATTCATTTAGGAAAGACTCCACATCCCCAGCAAAAAATTCTTCTGCAAACTGTTCAGTAACACTAATAAAATTGCTTATGAGTTCCCCACCTTTGTAGATGAGCAGTGTGGGGAGCACATCTGAGGAAAAGCGGTCCCCAGCACCTGTATTAGAAGCTTTTATTTTACAGAACTTGACCATAGGGTATTCAGCTGCAAGACATGTAAAGCTACTATTTAGAGCATCACAGCCCTTAACGCCATCTTCATAAATGTGAACAACAATTGTGGTGATTTTCTGTTCCTTTTCAATGGTTTCCAAGAATTGCTCCCCAGTCTCAAGCTCATACACAAACCCATATCTAGGCCCAAAACTCAGCTTCTGGTGCATATCCTGCATACATTGTCTACGATATTTACGAAGGCAATTTTCATCTTCTTTGTCTCGGTGAATTAGTTCATATTCTTGAATGCTCATCTGGGAATAGACAAAAGAAATGATAGAGAAAATTTGGTCAGAAATTTATATTATCTTAAAAAAAATTTTTAAGGAGTATTTATTTATTTGAGAAGGAGACCAAAAGCAGGGAGGAAGGGGAGATAGAGAAACAGGCTTTCCTCTGCAGAGAACCTGACTCAGGACTCAATCCCAGGACCCCAGGATCATGACCTGAGCCAAAGGCAGATGCTTAACCAACTGAGCCACATAGACACCCCCAGAAATGTATATTCTTTAGACACACCAAACCCATTCTCAATTCAGCTTCTATCTCACTCCTGAGGTGAAGAAGGCCTTCTCTTTCACCACTTTCAAACCTTTATTCAAATGATACCTTCTTTGATGATATGGCTTTCCTTATATGGGTTTATTTTTCTTCATAGCAATAAGTACTACCTGACATTGTGTCATATATTTTTTTATTTCATAAAGTTTTTGTAACTGTTATGTCCCATGGGGCAGGAATTTGATCCCACAGGCATACTTTTACATTTATTTTTTCTTCATATCTTTTTTTTTATTTTTTTTAAATTTATTTATGATAGGCACACAGTGAGAGAGAGAGAGGCAGAGACACAGGCAGAGGGAGAAGCAGGCTCCATACACCGGGAGCCCGACGTGGGATTCGATCCCGGGTCTCCAGGATCGCGCCGTGGGCCAAAGGCAGGCGCCAAACCACTGCGCCACCCAGGGATCCCTTCATATCTCTTTTTAAAAAGGGATGAGGTGTTGCAATTCTTCAGATGGGAAAATTTAATTGTCTCATCCATATCACATAGTGCCTCAGTAAAGGAAATCTAGAAATCTGGAAACAAGATCGTAGACTTGAAGATTTTTACAATGGCCAAAAGCCTAGGACTAAGATGCAGTCTGTCTATTGAGAATCAATATGCAACTTATACAATGGTTTGGAGATAAATAACTCACAAAGGGAGTTATTCCACAATGGAAGTCACTTTATGGGTTTTTAAATTAATATGATTGGGGATCCCTGGGTGGCGCAGCGGTTTGGCGCCTGCCTTTGGCCCAGGGCGCGATCCTGGAGACCCAGGATCGAATCCCACGTCGGGCTCCCGGTGCATGGAGCCTGCTTCTCCCTCTGCCTATGTCTCTGCGCCTCTCTCTCTCTCTCTCTCTCTCTCTCTCTCTCTCTGTGACTATCATAAATAAATAAAAATTAAAAAAAATAAATTAATATGATTGTTGTTGTAATTATTGTTATATAAATAATGCATGATAATTATAAGGATTCAAAAATAGCCAAAAAGCTAAAGGAAGGAAGTAATAAATAGTGAAATTTCACCAATCTAATACTGAGATAATCTCCATTAACATCGTTTGACATATCACATGGACATACATATTATATACCGAGTAAATAAGTAAGAATTTTTTAAAATTTTGCTTTAAAAAAAAATCATGATATCATAAAAAATGTGGCTTATTCTGCTTACTGGCTTTCTCCTATTTGGAAAAGGAAGTTGAGATCTCTCAACCAATCCTACCCTTCAAAATAACTGATATTATCAAGTGTCTTTCCATACTTCTCTGCATACATGGTCATATAATTATAGAAGGGTAAAAACATATACAGTCATGTGGTTTTTTTCCCCATTGCTCTGAAGGATGGGATCATATAACTTAAAATACTCTGTATCTTGCTTTCTTATATTACAGGACTGCCTGTAAGAGGGCTTATATATTGTAACTCATTCTTTTAATAGCTGCTATACATTTTTTAATATGGAATACTTTCACAGGCATTTACTTCATTTCATGGTTGTTGTTTTTTTTTTTTGCCAGTGTAAACAATACTATAAAAACAGGTCTCTCCTGGCACTTTTTTATATATATATATCAATTTTATATTTCTAAAGTGATTCTTTAGAGTCATTTAGACTAAAAATACATTGTAATTTATTTATTATTGATTTTTCCTTACCTTTCTGCTGAATCTTTCTTTTGAGTCTTTGTCATCTCTATTCTGAGGAGAAGACATTTGTCTGAGAATCTCCTTCTTACTAGGTGGAACTGAATCACTGTCTTCACTCTCTAATTTAAACTTTCTCCAATCATTTATTACTCCTTTGGGTCCTGAATAAAAGAAAAAACAAAATTTTTTCCTTTTTATTTTCAAAATGACTATTTATACAATTGAAATTTGTGTAAGTATCACTGTGGGAATAGATATCAACTTCTGCATCAGAAACAAACATCTTTGAGGGGTTTTTGTTGTTTTTTTAAAAAAGATTTTATTTATTTATTCATGAAAGAGACAGAGAGAGAGAGAGGCAGGATGTAGCAGAAGGAGAAGCAGGCTCCCTGCAGCAAGCCTCATGTGGGACTCAATCCTGGAACTCCAGGATCACACCCTAATCAACTGCTGAGCCACCCAGGCGTCCCAAGGAAACAAATAACTTTGTTTGGGCTACAAATTTCTGGCTGCCCTGCCTTCTGTTCAGGTCATGATCTTTAGATCTGGGATCAAGCCTCCACACCACCCCCATGGGGCTCCCTACTCAGTGTGGAGTCTGCTTGTCTCTCTCCCTCTACTCCTACCCCTGCTTGTGCTTACTCATTTTCTCAAACAAACGAAAGAATTATAAAGTGAATTCCTATGCATTTTGTCAAAGTACGCATGTGAATTCATCAACCTTCTGGCTAAATTTATTTATTTTTTATTTTTTTTTAACCTTCTGGCTAAATTTAAAGGCTCCATTTCATATTATTAAGAGAGAGAGGAAAACATTAGTTTAGTAAGATTCCAAAGATTTAAAAAAAAAAAAACCTAAACTGTTGCTTTTATTTATTTTTTAAATGTTATTTATTTTTTTAATTGTAGTATAGTTAACATACAATATTATACTAGTTGCAGGTATACAAAATAAGTGAAGAGGCCTAAGAGGTACTAACTGAACTTTTAAACTGACATGCTATTTGACTTTCAAACTCTTAGTAGTGGCATATATATTGTCCTTACAATTTAACAGATTAGGAAAACAGGCTTGGATGAAATGTATGGAGGGCAGCCCTGGTGGCAGTCACCACTTCACCCCAGGGCATGATCCTGGAGACCTGAGATTGAGTCCCATGTCAGGCTCCCTGCATGGAGCCAGCTTCTCCCTTTGCCTGTGTCTCTCTCGTCTCTCATGAATAAATAAATAAAATTTTAAAAAAAGGAAATGTATTGAAATGGTAGGATTTCTAGAGGAATATTGAAATCCATTTGATTTAAGAATGTTTTATCATTTATTTTTTTCAGATTCAAAAAATGAAAAACTATTTACCTTTTGGTCTGCTGTGTTTACGATTGCAAGGAAAAGTTCATAGTGGGGAACATAAGAGAAGAAAGAGCTTAATTATAGTGTAGATAGGTCTTATGATAGTTGCGCAGGAAGAGATTCTCAATAATTAGTGTTTTTCTCATTCTTTGACATCTAAATAAAACTACTTTAAGTGTATTTGATTTCACATTAATTTTCCCAAATGTTTTTAGATGATTCCATCAAACCATTCAAAAGTATTATTTAAATTTTATGCTGAACAATGGCAGTAAGAACATTAGAGATCTCCACATTTATGTTAATAATACTTTTCTTCTTCTAGATTTTCTTACCTGTATGTGTGGCCTGTCCTTCAAAGTCTTCCTCCAAACTTTGGTTTTTGGCTTCTTCTTCCATTTTAGGGATTTGATTTGATATAATCTATAGTATGAACAAAGAAGTAATGATGACAGATGAATGCCAGGAGAAACACACACATTATATCCTATCATTTTCTTGCTGCCAAATTGTATGCTAGGGTAGGAGTTATCACTAAGGGATAAAATGTTTAGCATATTTCTGCCTACCTTATAAAAGGACATTAATTTAATGTTTGTGTTTTTAAAGGTATTTTGACCTGAAGATTTTACATAACTCATAATTTGTTTTTACTTAAAAAGCCTTCTTCAGTTTGTCTATGTACTTAGTGAACATTATTATTTAGTTACCAAATATATAATTATATCATAGTACTTTATATAACACAATTTTTAAAATTAATAATTATATACTTACTATGTGCTAAACACTGTTCCAATTATTTAATTATATTATGTGACCAAAAAATCATTTAATATAGCTATATTATTAATACCATTTTACAACTGAGGAAGCTGAAGGACAGAGTTTAAATTACCTGCCCGTGGTCACATAGTGGTAGAGCAAGGATTTGAATCTAGATTTAATTTTAGAGCTAAATCGTGAGTCATTACACTCTTATGGAAATTAGCATAATGTAACAGAGTTGTTTTTATCAGTATAGTTTGGCAAATCCTGCTTCTGAACTGGCATTAAAGAAAAATGATCTAAGGAACAATGTTATTCAAAAACCAACACCAGAACATCTCTCTATACAATAAAGCAAGTTTTGGTGATGTTAACCACCAAGCAAATGATAACAATTAGTAATCGTGCCTATAGAATTTTGACTAAAATATGTCACAATATCTACCAAAAGTACATGGAATTTTATTCATAAGAGGTTCCTTGATGCCAGGATATGGAACCTATTTATCTCTTGGTTCACATCAAACCCAACTTGTTTACTTAGTTATCGTTCCCATCATCTGGAAAACTCTATTTACTATATATACTAACACATTCCCTAAGGGGTCCATAATTGTGATTTTCTTGAAATTTCCAAGTCAGGGAGGATATGCTAACAGTGGATATACCATCTTTTTACTCTTCCTTCCTCTACCTTCTCTCCTTCTTTCTTTCAAAGTCAGTTTTAGCCAATGATATAATCCAACTTATGCTTTTATTCTCATCTTAGTTTTTTATTGATTTATGCTTGAACTTGGTTCGTTGGTGCCTTCCTAAGGCATGGAATGGTAAAACAGAATTCTTTGTCTTGATCTCTTTTTTGCTTTGACATCTGTTCCCAACATAATTTTATGATCTCATAATAATTTTATTGTTTCCATCTCTATTGTCCCTACTCAGAATCACTGGTTGTCAAAGGTCTTTACCAATCTGATTTTACCCACTTGAACAAGAAAAGGCTTTTAAGGAAAGGCTGTCAAGCACTCTTGGGGACTGTAGAAATGATTTCAAATCATGTATATTTCTCATGTTCATGTAAAAGAGGGAGTATAAACAAGATAAATGGTTTGAGTCATTAAAAAAATATTAAAGTTGAATATTAAGGTTGAATGGATTAATGTTAATGAAAAAGAATAAAGGATAATGAAGATAAGGGAAATGGAAATAAGTAAATGTTGGCTAAAACAAGCTACTTAAGGGGCACTTCGGTGGTTCAGTCAGTTAAATGTCTCCCATTGGCTCAAGTCATGATCCCCAACTACTGGGATCAAGTCCCAGGATTGCATCTGGCATTGGGCTCCCTGCTTAGTGGGGAGTCTGCTTCTCCTTCTCCCTCTGTCCTTCTCCCTGCTCATGCTTTCTCTCTCTCACACACACTCTCTCAAATATATAAATTAAATCTAAAAAAAAAAAGCTACATAAAAGGTGCTTGGCTGGCTCAGTAAGTAAAACAAGCATTTTGGGGGAGTGGGGAGGGCAAAAGGGAGGAGAGAGTCTTAAGCAGACTCTGCGCTGAGCATGAAGCCCAACATGGAGCTTGATCTCATGACTCTGAGATCACCACCCTGAGATCATGACCTGAGCCTAAATCAAGAGTCGGACACTTAACCAACTCTGCCGCCCAGTGGCCCCAAGCAAGGGACTCTTGATCTCAGGGCCATAAGTTCAATACCCACATTGGGTGTAGAGCTTACTTTAAAATAAATAAATAAACACCAAAACAAACAAACAAAACAACAAAACCAAGCTCCTTAATTATTGCAATTACTTAAAAATAGTTTTTGCATCTGGTAAAAATGAATGTTAATAGATTGCTTCAAAAGAACACTATAGAACAAAGTAATGGAGACTTTTTGATAACTTCGGTAGCTGTTTAGTCCCCAGAAAAATAGAGACACAAGCCAGCCTTTTTTTTTTTTACAAGTGTAGAGCATTAATTTGGAGTAGCTATTATTCACAATAAATATAATAAATATACAATAAGTACATTAAGAATATCTAAAAATAATTTTATTTCAAGTGTTGAAGAAAAAGAAGCATAGCTTGCTTGGCTTGCCACTTACCAACCTAGTTAGCAATCTAGTAGAAAAAAATATTCCATTTTTTGGAAAGACTTTTGCCAATTTCAAAGAATCCCTTTACCAAAAAGACAATCCCATTACTTGGGAAAAACCTGACTCATTGATTCAATTAATATATCTTAAGAATAGACTATGTAGCAGGCATTTCCCTGGGCTCTGAATTACATGAGGAACAAAAAACTCTTTCAGTATGACACTCACAAATATTAAGACTTAAGTCAGTTGAGTTGTCTATTTAGTAAAAAGCAGAGTCCATCTTTATCCAATGTCATCATTTGAATTAGAGGACAAAGATTGGTGAAATTTACTACTGTTAATTACTAGGGGAACCAGTTAACAGAGGTACAAATTGGAAGATACATACGGAAACATAAGGCATATTTGCTGGCACTGCTTGAAGATTTCATAGAGGAACATACGAGTTGAGTATAATTAGCTATTGTTGTTTTGATCTATTAATCCCCTGTCATCACCTTACTCTGGGGTTTTCTGATTTTCTTAAATAATTTATCTTTTAAAAAATTAGCATTAATATCCTAAAATTAATTGAATTAGTATTTGGAAGGTGCTTAAATTCAGACACATAGTAACTACTGTATGAGTCTGTAAAATAAAATAAAAAAATATTTTTTGTAGTTGTACATATAGTGTTAAGAGTCACTTAAAAAATAGGATTAACATTTGGTTTGCAATGGTATTATTAGTAGTTTAAAAATTCCATGTCTGCTTTAGGTTAAAGGGTTTAAAATAGCAATAGAATTATTACAAGACTTTGGGTGATAGTAAACACATCTGTGTCTGATTGGAAATTGGTGATAGAGTGGAGCAAGAGGACAGAAAACTCCCTTCACCAAGATTTACTGTGGTTCAGCAGTTACTGTATTTTCCATCTCATAAAATTATGAAAATCTGTAATGTTGTTCCTTCTTGACTTCAGACAGTTATAATGCTGTTTCAGTTAATAAGATCTGTGTTAAGTAAAAATGCTATTTAGATGATTTTGGACAGGATATCATTCATTTAAAAGGTTACCAAAAAAATCTTTAAAAAGTTCATGTTGATGAGATATATAGTTTAAAATATAATTCTATCAGGTTAGGGTTCTAATAGTATTTTAAAATAATGGCTGATATAAAATAACATTTCTCAAACTTTGCCCTTAAAACCTTAACACCTCCCAACCATGGTATTTAATTACTAAGAAATAAAATGAGACAATTTGAAATGATTCTGCTTGTAGTTTCAATTTCACACATAATAGGGATGATCTAGAATAGAGAGTAAAATTCTTAGTTTTAAAATTCTCTTTTAAAACCCCAAATCCACCCCTAAAATATTTCATTATCATTATTATCCTTGTTCACATGATACTGTGATGATAACATCTGTTAATCATCTTAAATATGTCGTTCTGATCTAATTAGAATATCTAGTTTAAAACTGACGTGTACATTCTGTGTTCTGAAAAAGAGCTTTACTGCAATACTAACTGTTGTAGATTTACTGGTAGATTTGGAAAGACTGAGATCATCTCATCACTGTGCCCTAGATTGACTTCTCTTCTAGCACCCGCACGATTTTATAGGACTTATTTTTACATTCCTTTTTCTCCATTACTGTAAGTTTTTTTAAGGACAGAAACAAGCTTTTATTTGTTATTGTCTTCTTATATTTATTTCACCTGTTGTAGATACTCCATAAATGACAGCAGCCATTTTTAAAGAAACTACTAAGTGTTAGGTACTTTATACATATTATTTTTAATTCTCCCAAATTATTATCTTCATTTTTCAGACGTGGATTCTCATGCTTCAGGAGATTCAGTGGCTTGCCAAAGCTCACAGAGTAGCTACTCTATGGAGTAGATAGAGCCAGGGTTCAATCTAGATTTCTCTGACTCTCAAATCTCAAAAATCCTTATTTTTTCTACTCTGTTATCACCCCAATAAAATGATTAATGAATAGATAAATTAACCAAATAAACCAATCTAATTTTTTATATAAGCATTAAAGCCAAGATGAGAATATGAAAAATAACATATCATAAGCACCACGTCCTCAAAGTCCTTGAGATAGTAATTGAATGATAAATTTCTCAGTTTTGGATTAAAGCTCATTGTTTATACCGCATATAACAGTAGTCTGTTTATTTCCAGTTATCTGAATAGATTCTAAATGACTCATAATTACTCTGGAAAGTTAATACGAAAGACAAAATGGCTTTGTCTACTGTTAGTTCTTGACAGTCATACATGTGGATTGAGAATTTATCATCAGTCTTATGTCTCTGCATCATTTATAAAAGCAAATGTGATATACAATAATGTGTTAATTATGTATCAAACTGAAACTAGAAAATGCAAAATTATGGAAACATTTTACTTCGGTTTGTATGGAGATTTGTGCAACAAAGTAAGCTATTTCACTCATGAACATATCAACCACTTAAAAATTATATACTTCAAAGAATCATATTTGAATTTTTAAATGTAATTTAAGCAAGAATTATAT